CATCTTTATGCTCATGCATTATTTGAAAGTTATTTAGTTATTAAGTTAATTAATCAATTTCTCAGTAAAATATTTTAAGCATAAGTATTTGGAGGTAAGTTATTTATATTAATGATTTAATTGGACAATTTAATAAAAAAAAAAACATCTTTATGCTTATACATTATTTGAAAGTTATTAAGTTAATTAATCAATTTTCAAGTATAATATTTTAGACATAAGTATTTGGAGGTAAGGTATTATATTATTGATTTATTTGGACAATTTAATGATAATAAATCATCTTTATGCTTACACATTTTGAAGTTATTAATTAATCAATTTCTTGATAAAATATTTTAAACATTTAGAAAGTTAAGTATTTAAAGATAAAGTATTTATATTATGACAATTTAATAAAAAAAAACATCTTTATACTCATGTATTATTTGAAAGTTATTAAGTTATTAAGTTAATTAATCAATTTCTTAGTATAATATTCAGGCATTTAAAGAGCTAAGTATTTGAAGGTAATGTATTTATATTAATGATTTTAATTAGACAATTTAATAATAATAAACCATCTTTATGCTCTTGCATTATTTGAAAGTTATTAAGTTAATTAATCAATTTTCCAATATAATATTTCAAACATCTAGAGAGTTAAGTATTTATAGTAAGATATTTATAATGATTTAATTAAACAATTTAATAATAATAAATTATCTTTATGCTTATGCATTTGAAAGTTATTAAGTTAATTAATCAATTTCTCAGTAAAAATATTTCAGGCATTTTATTATGGTGCATTTGTAAACTACTTCAAAAAATTTGAAAATTTTATGATAAGTCATTTAATAAATTTCTATGTTCAGTAGAATGCATCATAGACAGAAAGATGGGTTAGCATGTAAAGAAGATGGGTTAGGCTCATTATCGGTACAGATCAGAAGTCCAAAAAATTTTTTCAGAGTTTAACATTTGTTTAATATATAATTTGGTAACCAAAATTTAAATTTGGGACCAAATGATTGGATTTGGTGATTAATTGTTTGCTAATATGATGTAATGTAGAGAGTTAAGTATTTGGTAATAAAGGTTTAATCGGTAAAATTTAGCACAGATTATTATTAATAAGAATTTTTTTATACTCAACTTATATTTTTGAATATCAAATGACATTCAGTAAATCTGAAATAATAATCATATTGTGACCTTTTCTAATTGAACTTTTTAATTTTACTACTTTAACTTCTGATCTCTATATATTATATATAGCTGTAATATTACACTTCTAATTATATCATAAATATATCAGAATTCATTTAATAAACTTATATTTAAGGCAGTCATAATTCAAAAATATAATATATTAATACACAATAAAAGAGATAAAAAAAAAATTTTTTTTATTTATTACCTTTACTTTTAATAGTATAGGCTTTCTTTGTATTATCCTTTTTTACTATTGTTTTTATTATTTGTTCTATCATTTATTCATTCTATTATTAAATCTAAAAAAAAATAATATAAGTGAAGAAGAAATTTGTAAAATTGTATTGTCCGAAATTTGTGAAATTGTACTGTCCCAAAAAGGCAATAACAAAATAAAGATTGACAGATATTTAATAGTAAAAGAAAAGAATAATAGAGATAGGTACTACTGGTACTATGAGAAGAATAAGTTGATTAAATGTAAGGGTCAGGCAGTAACAGTTTTAAATAATGGCCTACATTATTTAAAACAATCATCAGAACATATCCATGCTCCTTAAGCGAGCAGATCTGAAGTTGTTAAAGCTGTTGCTAAAATCAAAAAACGTGCATTGGAGACTGGGAAAAAGCCAACTCAGCTTATCCAAGATAATATGAATAGTATTCCTGAAGAAGTCAGACCATATATGCCAATGCTCAGTGCCCTTCACAGAGTGGTAACTCATGCTCGAAAAAATGAAGAATTACAAGAACCACAAAGTGCTTCAGATCTTATTTTGCCACCTTCACTCTGCAATACTTTAGATGGTAACAATTTTTTAATTAAGGATCATAAGGTTGAGGAAAAATGACTTCTAATATTCACGACTAAAGAAAATATTCAATATTTGTCTACAGCCTCATTCTGGATAATGGATAGAACCTTTAAGACAGTTCCGTCTATTTTTTGCTAACTTTATACAATTCATGCTCCTGTAGGCTCAGAAAGTAACTCGAGAATCTTACTATTAGTGTACACTCTTATGACACACAAATTAGAAGAAATATATAGGTAGGATAACAAAGTTTTTGAAGCACATGAATTCATTTTGTACTGCAAAATATCTAGTGCTCGATATAATTAAACAAAAATTCGATATTCAAAAATATTATTCTTATTAAGCAAACTTTCTCATCTCTTAATGTTTTAAAAAAATAGTTAAAATTTTGTTTTCTTTACTATCCCTATTATAGATGGTTTTTTAGCAATTTATCAGAGTTTGCTGAAGATAACGATCTTCAATTAATGCCTACTCGAATTATTACTAACTTCAAGTTGGCACCTATCAATGCATCTCATTATGAATTCCTAAATGCAGTTCAAAAAGGTTGCTACTTCCACCTGTGTCAAAGTGGATGGTGCAAAATTTAGGAAAATGGGCTAGCCATCCGATATAGAAACAACATTTAGTTTAATTTGATGATCTGCTATTTATTTGCTTTAGCATTCCTTTTAGCTCAAGAAATTCCTGTCACATTTGAAATTCTGAAGGTAATTATGCCTTCAGAAGCAAGTAATATAACTCAATGGTTCGAGGAATATTATGTTCTTGGAAAAGTATGACATCAGTCACATGATGAAACTGTAGCAACTCGTGGCTTGCCTTTATTTCCACCAAGCTTATAGTCTATTTATGATTCGATTGAGCTAGGCATTCCAAGAACACAGAATGTTGTAGAGGTCTGGCACCACTGTTGGAAGACATTAGTTAGAGAATTAAATGTAAGTATCTATAAGATAATTAATGAAATGCAGAAAGAACAGCAAAATGTTAAAACTCAGGTTGAATGAATACTTTATGAAGAGCAAAGATCTAAACCAAAAAGATGTTTTATTGAAAAAGAGAAAAGGCTAATGACAGTTTTTAATGACTGAAAAAATTGAAATGTTATGAAGTTTTTGCGTGAATTTTCTGATAATCTTTCTGCTTATCTTTCTTTGTGATGCTAATTTTTTTGCATATCTTTGTGATTCTGCTTTATCTTTCTGCTTATCATTGCAATATTTTTTTATTAATATATTATTAGATCTGTAATTAAACTTTTGCAATAACAGATATATAATATATAATTAGCTAATACCTAAAATATTGTATTAATACTTTTTAAATTAAGATACTATAAGATTCAAATTAATTAATTCTATATGCTCTCATTTGCTGACTTGTTATTTTGCGTCTCTTTATAAGATGCCACTTTGCTCATTTTAATCAAAAAGGAAGTCATCTGTTAAAATATATTGCAAACATATAGATGTTCTGAGTCATTTCATGATTTAGATCAGTTCTAAATTGACCTAGGTTATTCTTAGATTTTAAAATGATCTAGATTATTTCTCAATCAGTGAAAAATTTAAAAAATTCAAATTTATAAGTCCAAGTAGTAAATCATATAATCTAAGCAATAATATTAATTATATTATTAAAGTTCTTTTGCATAAAAAAAAATCAAAATTTTATATAAAGAAATCAAAAATATAAAAATTCTTTATAATAAAATTTAACTATATTAGTAAAAAAAATGCACATTTAAAACATATAAAAATTTTTTATATAATGTAAATTTAAGAAAAATTTACATCACTTAAAAGTTTTCAATGAGACAAACTTGTGTCCCCAAGTCATTTAATCATATAAAGTCCTTCATTTGCAACACTGTATTTAAATTTTGGGTTCTGTAAATTGTTGGAATTTTTAAGTACAGTTAAATGTTGATTATATTTATTTGATCTATTAAACAGGATTGTTTTTCCTATAATAAATAAAAGCTTTTAATATTTGATCAAAGGTTTCACATGCCAAAAGGTTGTAACTTTCTATTTTTAAAAAATTAATAAAAAAAAAGTGTATTTATTGATAAAGTTAAGTTTTATTTATTTATTAATTTTTGTTTTTTTGCATTAATTAATTTGACATACATAATAATTATAGGTTCTAAAATTTTGGGATTAAGTGACAACCTTTCCTAAGTATGAGGTGTGACAAATAAGCATCAACTAATTTATTTATATGTAATAAAGTAGTTGATATATATTTGTCATTCAATAATTAGTCACATCCTGATCCTTAGTATTTCATTAAAAATTGACCTGAAATCAGTGAAAATTTATGAATGATCTAGATTAATTCTAAATCATGAAATAACTCAAAACATAGATACATCACATTGATGTGTTGTTACATCAAAAGTGTCATATTGACATTAATATAGGTCATAACATTTAAATATATATTATTTCGAGTCTAATTGATTAAAAATATCAATTCACATTATTTCAACTTAAGTCTCAGTAATCATTACATAATTGCTCTTGCTTTTTTATACCAATTACTATAATTAAAAAATATTAATATAAAAATAGAC